GAAATTTTTAGCTCCCTAACTCTTCTGGCTCCCAAAATTATGCTTCTCGCCAAAACTTCCATGGGAGCGTTGAAAATTTGCGGAGTTGTACGCAGGCAGGGGATGCTACGTTAAAATTTCAGTTTCCTAGTTTTTGCAGTTCACGAGATAATAATTTCCCTACTAAAACTTCCACGGTGTTGTACGTAGTATCCAGGGATGTGTGAAAGCTGAACCAAAATTTGCAGGGGTCGCACTTTGACAGGAGACATCGCCGTAAAATTTCAGATTCTCAACTTTCGTGGTTCTTGAGATAATATTCCCCACCGAAACTTTCACTGAGTCGCATGTGATACCTGGGCGTGCGAGAACGCTGGGTTTGAATTTGCAAGATCGTACGTGGGCAGGGACTCATTACCTTATAACCTCGGCTTCCTAGATTCCGTGGTTTCCGAGATACAATTTACCCGCTAAAATTTTCACAGCTGATACCCGAGAGCACGGGATCGCTGGATTTAAATTTGCAACATCGTACGTAGGCAGGAAGTCATTATTGTAAATTTCGGCTTCCTAGGTTTCGTGATTCCCGAGACAATAGTTTACTCACCAAAACTTCTTCGGGGCCGTACGAATCACCCACGGGCAGTGGAAGGCTGAATTTAAACTTTCTGGGTCGTCCGTGGGCAGGGGATGCGCCCACAAAATTTCAGCCTTCTAACTTCCGTGGTTCCTGTGATAATAATTTTACCCGCCAAAACTTTTACAGGGCCGTACGTTTTACCCGCAGACAGGGAAGGCTGAATTTAAATTTTTTCATTATCGTAAAGATTTATCTTCCTGGCCTTCATGGTTCCCGAGATAATAATTTCCCCCGCCAAATCCTACGCAGTACCCAGACATAGGGGAGGACTGTATTTGAGGTTGAGGGGTTGTACTCGGGCAGGGGACATTACCGCAAAATTTCAGCTTCCCAGCTTTTATGTTCCAGCTTCCTTTCGGCATCTAATTTGTTGCTGAGTATCACGAAGTCTTAATTGACGGAACTGAGATTCACTTAACTGTTGGGAAATACAAGTGTTATTTGGTGATAACAAAACGGGTGCTGCAGCAACTGGATTGCGAACGAGGACTGTGAAACCGAAGATGACGCTTCGAAATCATTTCGGAAATCAGTGTATTCGGAGTTGCTCCAATGCCTTAGACTTTTTTGTTTTTAGTGAAATTTTATTTTGGATCACATCATTGCAAATCATCTCCTAACCCGGCCGAGCCGAGCCGAGCCGAGTTTTAGTAATAGAT